ATTCTATTCTATTCTATTCTATTCTATTCTATTCTATTCTATTCTATTCTATTCTATTCTATTCCATTCCATTCCATTCCATTCCATTCTATTCCATTCCATTCCGAGGTGGTATTCAGCAGGTTCTGACCAGTTCTGGAGAACCAATAGCGGAAATTTGGAGTAGTTCGGAGAACTGGCAAATACCACCTTTGACTGACCCCGCCCCATCTATACTCCCGAGTTTCCAGCTGATCGGCTGGGTCTTCTTTTGTTGCCCTGCACAGGAGAACGGAGCTGGAAAGCAGGTTAGCGGTGTGGGGAGGGAATGGGGATATTGCAGTAACCTTCCCCCAGGAGTGGGGTGGGAATGGAGATTTTACAGTAAAAAAAATTGAATCCCATCACTGATTCCATTCCATTCCATTCTAAATGCCAGTAGAATTGAACACATCCCACTCCCTGTTCATGTCTCAGCATCTCATCAAGCAAGCACAGTAGCTCAAGCCCATGATAAAAGCTCCAGTTTTATCAGGCAAAGAAGAGGGAAAACACAGCTTTAAAATTGTTAAATAGGAACTTAAACTGTCTCCACTGTGTGATAGCTTAAATTGGTATGTCATGAGGTGCTGTTCTTCAAAACCAGTTGTTATGGGGCATGTTTTTTTTTTAAAGATTTAAGCATCTATAGGAGTCAAGCAAAAGGAGCGTAATTAATGCCTTATATATCTGGTCCAGTGAAAGTCATTAGTTACAGCTATTTCAGGCATCAAGTGACCCTATGGGATCTACTTGCCACATTGTTAATAATGAGGAACTAGTCCCAATTAGAAGGGCAGACAAGAAGGGAAAAGGAGACAATTCTAAATTAACACCACAAACATAAAGAGCTACGTTTTGAAACCTTGTACTTGGATGGGCAAATGCATCCATTTTACTTCCTATTACATTCAAAGCCATTATGTCACGTGCTGGAACTTGTTAACAAGTTATGAATCTCCAGTCCAACCAAATTCTCCCTCATTCCATTCTGAATAGAAGGTTTACATGTCCATGTCAAGTCAATTGAACATGAGTCCCAGAGAAGTTTCTGAAATCTGAGTCATGATTAATTGTTATAAACTGATCTGAAACAACCCAGAGAGGTTGTTAGAGAAAAAAAGAAACCAAATAAGCTTACTTGAGAGCAAATGGGATAGCGTTTCTGTTTTCCTCCAACGTAGAGTTCTTTCTCTTTCTGCCTAAGACTTCATTACACCATATCTCTCTTCTTAGCTCTTAGGGGAGTCTTATTTTCTTTCCTTCCTCATTTGCTTCACTTGGACCACGTTTCGCTTCTTCATTTCTCAAATATAGCTGTGGAAATTTTCTCAGCTGATTAAACTATGCGGCTGCCTTTCTTAAGCTATGCGATTGCACTTTATCCTCTTAAAAGCTGTCATGTGCGGGAATCTACTTGCATATGACAGCAGTATTGAGAATATCATTGGAAGAGTGTGTTTTGTTCGCCTGCTCCCATTTTAACCTCACAACAACCCTGTGAGACTAGTTTGGGCTCAGAGCAGAAAAATGACCCAAGTGAACTTTAAGGATATTTGGAGATCCTGGTCAGCTTTTCTAACATCAGAGTTTATTTAGCTTCGTTCTAAATGTTAGAAAGATGTTGATTAGCCCTTTAAGATACATGGCTGAAAACAGGGAGGAATTGCTCTGCCATCCTAAGAAAAGCTGCTGGTGTGTTAAAAGAGGTGCAGGCTTGGTCCTCCTATGTACTCTGAATCACCTTTTTGGAATCAAATCTGAGCACTGTACAACTCTAATGAATTCACCTTGAATGAATCCCTCAGTCCTTAGAGATTAAAGGTGGCATGATTGTTCTTTTTTTCTTATTTTTCATGTTTCATGTTTTTTTTCTTTGAGCTACAGCAATTCTTCATTTCATTTCAATTTTGCAAAACCACAACTATGCTCAGACAAATTACCATATGGGTAGAAGATCTCTACATATTTAAAGGTTACATTTTTAATCAGTTTACTACTGATTAATTAAATACTGATTTACTACTTGTAGATCTGGATCAAATATATATTCAGGGGTGGGATTCAAACTTTTTAACAACCGGTTCTGTGGGCATGTCTTAGTTGGTGGCGTGGCTTGGTGGTCATGTGACTGGGTGGACGTGGCTTGGTGGTCATGTTATTGGCTGGGCGTGGCCAATGCAATATCACTCACATCGAGGCACGCATCTCTTCGCCTGGCCTCTCATGACTGTGGGGATGCTGCAACAGTCGTAAGTGTGAAAAATGGTCATAAGTCACTTTTTTCACTGCCATTGTAACTTTAAATGGTCACTCCACACAAGCAAAGTACCAGCAAAGGAGAGGAAAAAAAGAGAAGTTCCTGAGACAGGAAGTCTAGTCCTGCCAAGAATGTCAGAGGCAGTTTCTTTAAGCAACACCAGAATGTTTCCTTCCTGCCTTCCTTACAGGATTAGGCCAGTAATTTCTTCTATCAACGGTTCTCCGAACTGCTTAGAATGTTAACAACCGGTTCTAGCGAATAGGTGCAAACTGGTAGAATTCCACCCCTGTATATATCCCCCCCAAAAGAGTAAGTTCTGGCCTGTGTGTGTGTGTATGTGTGTGTGTTTGTTCATATTGGCAAGAAATTCAGAAGAATAAAATTGGAGATCATTAAGACAAGGGAGATTCTTCAAGGCTGAATTTCCAGCACAAGAAGACATTGACTAAGTGAGAAGGAATGTCTTGGACAAACCATGAACAGATTTGTCTTGGTAAAAATAGTCAGGAAAAAACAGAGTGGATGCAGTGAAAATATAGCATATTGATGTGCTAGCAAGGAAAGGTGGTAATTCAGGAGGTCATTCAGCACCCCCCGTCCCAACCCCAATTTGGGTGGACTGACAGTTGTTTCAATAATAAAGCAATCGAAAAAACATTTCTATTTATTAAACACCTGTATGTCTGCATGTCCATGTAGGTATAACTCAATCTTCAGGCATAAATTGAGGTAAGGGACACCAGAGGGACTGATAGCTTTATTGGTGAACTCACAACTTCAATAGGAAAGTATTTTTCCAGAGGAGCACAGGCCCAGCCTACCCCCTAGTGATTCTGCCTAGTGATTTGGAAGGAAACTTGCAAGTACACTAAAGAAGAGCGAAACATTTGCATCTATCAGATAAAATTTTATGTTTAATTGTCATAATCAGGCATTGGCCTTTTTTTAACAACAAAGAATCAGATGAACAGTTTCTTATTATATATACATCTATTCAAAAATATACTAAGAGTATATTAAAATAATTTGTTGGACAATAAATTATTTTGTTGGTGAAATATGAAAGTAAACCTTCTTTTAATTACAACATTTCCAAAGTAATTATTATTAAAGATCTTAAAATCACTACTGTTAATATATTGGGTTTTGGAAAGTTCTGGCGGTGGGTGAGAAGCGGCTCCTTGCGATGATGGTGATTCACCTCCGTTGCTGAAACAGAATAACAAAACAGAATAATCGAGTTCATAACCCCCTGCTTATGAACAAGTTCCCAGCGTCTGCCTGCTTGCCTGCTGTGTTAAATAGCCGGCTTCTGGTGCAGCCCATCAACAAGGGTGAGGCTGCCTCCTTGCAAGTAATCGGGATGACCTTCGTTGCTCCTGCCTTTTCCCTGCCCAATCTGTTCTCAGATGAGGTGCAGAAGGCAGTTCCTCCTCAACGTTAGCCCTCTGCCGCTGAGTTCTTTGCCCACCTGAAGCCTCAGGGCTGCCCTGCTGCAGCTGTTCTTCAGCCAAATGACTCTCAGCCAGCTGCCTGGAGACATTGACCAACTCACCTCCTGAGGTGCCTGGGACTTTTTCCACCCTCCCCCAAGCTGGCATCTGGAGAGGTGTCAGAGGAAGCATCTGGGGAAGGAATCAAAGGCTATTATTAGTACCACATGCTTTCTATAAAAGCTCAAACACTTTGCTCTTTCTGGAGTTACTTGTAATTACCCTCTGCCCTTCCCAGGTAGCTTATTGGGCAACTTCTGATCTGAGAGGGTCATTTACTGGCACCATAGCTTTTAGCCTTGGGAAACCTTTCATAGAGTTTTCTTAATAAGGTTACTGGGGAGGTTTGCCACTTCCTTCTCCAGTGGGCCACCTTGTATCAGCGCCTTCCACGCTGGCCTGTCTGCCTTGGGTGGCCTTGCCCGGCATAGCTCATCGCTTCATTGAGCTGCAAAAGACTCTTTGACAGGACAAGGCAGTGCTCCATGAAGAATCTGAAATAGATACCCTTTTAGATTAAAGAAAGCCTTCCAGGTCCAGGGAGTCTTCGTCGAGGCTGCTAAGATCTGCAAGTGTGGCTCCCGATTCATCCGGAGAATCCTATGAATGACAGCGATTCCTTTTTAGCCACGAGGGCAAAAGAGACCTAGAATTCCCCAAAAGAGGGACTATTGAATGGGGATGAAAAAATAGGCTTTCTATGCTTTGCCTGTTAAATCCCTGCCCGGAAGCAGCAGGGTGCTGGAAAGGTGCTGGGAAGGATGGACGCGGAGAAAGGAAAGGCATAAGCCAGGTGGGCCACATCCATTTAGCACACCAGTGGGGCCTTCCCTGCTGCTTTGCGGTGAATGAACCAATTGCACCAGAGCTTGGCTGCATATAGTTTGCCTAAGTACGTTGTCCCAAGGGCCAAGTGGGGTCACCTTGCTCCAGCACCCACGGCACTCCAGCACGGTTCACTCCAGTTAGGAGAACTGAATAGAAGACCACCATCCCTCCCCAAGAGAAAAAACTTTGTCTTTCTTCTCCCACGGACTGGAAGGCTCGCTAGCATCGGAAGCCACTGCAGCCTCCTCCCAGCTTCCCTCTGGCACCTCGTCTAAAAGCATGTCTGGGGAGTCCAAGTCCTCTAGGCCAGGGATCCCCAACCTTTTTGACGCCGCGGCCCGGTACCGGCATCAGCTGGGCGCCGCGGCCCGGTACCGGCATCAGCTGGGCGCCGCGGCCCGGTACCGGCATCAACTGGGCGCCGCCATCTTTTTTTGACGAAAAAGTGCTTCCGGTGACCTCACCGGAAGCACTTTTTCGTCAAAAAAGATGGCGGCGCCAGCGCTTCCGGTGAGCTTTTTCGGGTAGAAATGGCTTTCTACCCGGAAAAGCTCACCGGAAGCACTTTTTTACCAAAAAAAGATGGCGGCGCCCAGCAACCAGCGGACCGGAGGTTGGGGACCCCTGCTCTAGGCTGCTCCTGCTGTTCGATCCGATCAGGACGTTCATCGAATCCAGCAAATGAGAGCATCAAGGCTAAAGCCAAAGCTCTCTGCATCTCAACAGGATGGCTAATAGGCTGCATTCAGCCCCTACGTGCCAAGAGAAAGACGGCCTTTGGAAGCCTTATGCCGAGGAGGACGTATCACACAATTTCGCCCTCCCCCACCAGGACTTGTGGCATAGCCTCCATCGGCCCCATTGCCAAAACGTTCTTACCTTGGAGGACGCTTTCTCCCCGTTGAGAGAGGGGAAGGGCTCCTGTTCCACGGCTTCCGATGTGTAAGC